GAGGCCAGCATTTCATCATCCATCACACTGTTAGAAAGAATATACAATCATTCTGTCCGCTGCCAGAAAGAGATCTCCCTTCTATTTTTTTCCATTGAATGATGCAACTTTATCAATATTTGCAAAACAGTGGGGGCAGGAGACCCTTGAACAAGAAATGATGTATGACACTGCCACAATATTGCTGAGATGTGAATTATACCTCCTAAGTGGATTGTGTTTTCTATTCTACTCAGCAGCTAAGCAATGCAGGTAATTTGTACAGAATGTAACTGTTGAGAGAAAAAAATAGGATTCAAAGATTTTCCATGCTGTTGGTCTTTTTCAGTTTTTACAATTTCTCTTAGAAAAATCATATTCTGCACCTTTCTGTATATGACCCAGCCTTTTATTTGTTTCAGTTTTTTTTTAATCATTAGGATATGATGATTTTACTCAATCAAAATTATATATATATATATATATATATATATATATATATATATATATATATATATATACATATATATATATATATATATATATCTATATATAATATATATATATATATATATATATATATATATATATATATATAATATATATATATATATGGCATATGGGAAAGGGAGGCGTCCCACAACAGCAATGCACAGTGGCTGATCTCTCTACGAGAGGACCACAGCAACCTCCCTGAGCAAGCCCCGGTAACCATCACTGTGACGATGTTCAAGAAAGAGTCTCAGGCATGAAAAACTGGACAGCACCAGGGCCTGACATGATCCATGCCTACTGGCTAAAGAAACTCTGCTCTCCATGTGCGACTGGCAGCCCAAATGAACCAGCTGCTACAAAGTGGGACTCACCCTGAATGGTTAACTGAAGGGCGGACAATCCTAATCCAGAAGGATCCATCAAAGGTCCAGTCCCACCCAACTACCGACCAATAACCTGCCTCTCCACAACCTGGAAGCTCATGTCAGGCATCATAGCGGCCAAGATAAGCAAACACATGGATAAACACATGAGCACGGCACAGAAGGGTATCGGTGTAAATACCAGAGGAGCCAAACACCAACTCCTCGTAGACCGCACAGTTGCCCGAGACTGCAAAACCCGACACACCAACCTGTGCATGGCTTGGATCGATTACAAGAAAGCCTATGACTCAATGCCGCATACTTGGATCAATGAATGCCTAGAGATGTATAACATCAACAGGATTCTGAGAGCCTTCATTGCAAACTCGATGAGGCTGTGGAAAACCACCCTTGAAGCCAACTGCAACCACTTGCACAAGTGTCCATCAAATGTGGCATATACCAAGGAGATGCTCTGTCCCCGCTACTGTTCTGCATAGGCCTGAACCCCCCTCAGCCAAATTATCAACAAGACTGGCTACGGATACCGACTCAAAAATGGGGCCAACATCAGTCACCTCCTCTACATGGATGACATCAAGCTGTATGCCAAGAGTGAGCGAGACATCGACTCACTGATCCACACCACCAGGATCTACAGCACTGACATTGGGATGTCTTTCGGACTAGAGAAGTGTGGTCGGCTGATCACAAAGAGGGGGAAGGTGATCCGCACAGAAGGAGTCTCACTCCCACAAGGAACAATAGCAGACATAGACAGGACAGTACCTAGGTATACCACAAGCAAATGGCAACCTCGATGAGGCCACAAGGAAGGAGCCACAGCTAAATACCTCCAACGAATAAGGCAAGTCCTGAGAAGCCAGCTCAATGGCAAGAACAAAATCTGTGCGATAAACAGCTATGCCTTGCCAGTAATCAGATACCCTGCTGGAATAATTAGCTGGCCAAAGGAGGAGATAAAAGCCACAGATATTAAGACTAGAAAGCTACTAACCATGCATGGAGGGTTCCACCCCAAATCCAGCACCCTGAGACTGTACACGAGCCGCAAGGAAGAGGCAGAGGACTAGTGAGTGTGAGAACCACTGTCCAGGACGAAACACCTAAGATCCATAAATACATCAGGACAAAGCCTCAACAGACAATGTGCTCAGTGAATGTCTCAGACAACAGGGAACGGAGGTTGAGGTGCCAGAGATACCATCATGGGAGGACAAGCCCCTACATGGGATGTACCACCAGCAAATAACCCAAGTGGCTGATATCAGTAAATCCTACCAATGGCTGGAAAAAGCTGGACTCAAGGACAGCACAGAGGCCCTCATCCTGGCCGCCCAGGAACAGGCCCTAAACACCAGAGCAATAGAGGCCCAGATCTACCACACCAGACAAGACCCAAGGTAGGTTGTGCAAGGAGGCCCCTGAGACAGTCCAGCACATCACAGCAGGGTGCAAGATACTGGCAGGGAAAGCGTACATGGAGCGACATAACCAAGTGGCAGGCATTGTGTACAGAAACATCTGTGCAGAATATGGACTGGAAACCCAGAGATCAAAGTGGGAAACACCCCCAAAGGTGGTGGAGAACGCCAGAGCTAAGATCCTGTGGGACTTCCAGATCCAGACAGACAAAATGGTAATGGCGAACCAACCAGACATTGTCGTAGTGGATAAACATCAGAGGAAAGCCATTGTGGTTGATGTAGCAATACCAAGTGATTGCAACATCAGGAAAAAGGAGCATGAGAAACTGGAGAAATACCAGGGCCTCAGGGAAGAACTGGAGAGGGCCTGGAAGGTGAAGACCACAGTGGTGCCTGTGGTCATCGGGGCCCTCGGGGCAGTAACCCCCAAACTGGAGCAGTGGCTACAACAGATCCCAGGAACAACATCAGACATCTCAGTCCAGAAATGTGCAGTCCTTGGCACAGCCAAGATACTGCGCAGAACCCTCAAGCTCCCAGGCCTCTGGTAGAGGACCCGAGCTCAGAGGATAAGAACCACCCGCGGTGGGTGAGAAGGAAATTTATATATATATATATATATATATATATATATATATATATATATATATATATATATATATATGCTTGTTTGTTTGTTTTGTGTTTCTTTCTGTACGTTTTTCAAGTAATAAAAGGTTTTGGGTCATGTCTATAAATGTTTGTTTTCAACAACCAAGACTTAACCTAACAGGGGAACAATATTATGGCATCCCCCGGATATCTCTCCCGCTCGTGTTTTGCTTCCAGGCAAAGAAACTGGGCTGGAACTGCATATTCTTTGTGCTATTCACCATTCCTTAGGCAAAGCCTGGCCCAAAGTGGAAAGAAAACAATTTTGTAGGTAGTCTATTGTCATACCGACTCTAATTTTGTTTAACAAAATACTTTATTAGATTATTTAACAGAATTAATGTGGATTACTGGGCTATTAGAGCAGACTGTGCTTTCAAGGAATGGACAATCAGTTTATTCATGTAGACATAAAATGAACTTGGCCAGCCATTTGACTAAGCACACTCTGCTTTTAGATCAGCTGGGTTGTGAGCTACAAAGATAATTGAGCTTCCCAGTACGCACTAAAAGAAATTATGCAAATTCTTAATGCAAACACAGCTGCACTGAGAATTCACAGAAACAAGATGTTTACCTTTAACTACTTCTAAATTATTTATCTTATTCAAAATAGTGCTAATATCTAAAGTCAATCCATTTGTTTTTCCCTCTTTCCCTACCCTTTCTTCTATCCTTCTTCTCGAATCATATCCCAAAGTAGCCCCCAAGTGTTCTGTTCTCATCCTTACAAATGACTCACCATCCAACTGTGGAACTGCCTGAAGAATTTCTCCAGACGACAGGAGTCTGAGTTGAACTGGAAGCTTGAGATGTGGTGAGGCAGACTTCTCAGACTCGAAGAGTTCACTGAATTAATAGAGAATTTAATCTCATGTTACAGGAAAGATTTGGACGGGTGCCTCAGCAAATACTCGTACAATGCCCTGCAAACATATTCATACCCAAGAAAAGTGTTTTATGTTTTCTGACATCATAGTTGGTATTTAAATTGGTAATTGGTATTTTATGTGATTGATCAAGTATCCACTCCATTGACTTGGCTTTAAATTTTCAAAGTGGCTATATATAGCTCCCTATTCATCTTTTTTTGTAATTGCAATTAAAATGTTTTTGGAGGAAAGTCTCATATTTGGAGACTATTTGTTTTGCTCCACAATGGTTTTGGATGTTACATATGCAAAAGCCACATTTGCCGGTGCATGCTTTTGAAAAAATGGTTGTGAAAATAAGGTTGCCTTATTCTGACTGGACAATTTGGGATTTCATTACACATTGAAATGGAATTAATCATTGCATGTTTTTGGAGTTTACATGAAAGTACAATGACAACACCTACTTCCATGATAGACCAAGCAGTACTCTGCAACATATTCATTGCTTGGGTTTCTTCTTTAAGAACCTAACCATGTTGTAAAATGTTACACAACTTTATTTCTGGCTTGTCTTTTGTGTTCCTCGACAAACATTAGTGCTTGTTGACTAACGTTCTCTAGAATACATGAGTCCTTTACAGAAAACAGATTAAATCTCTCTCACACAGAGAGACGCACTGATTCACTAATTAATTGACTTTTTGAAGAAATGCACTACACTAGATTTTTTGTAGGAGAATGAAGTCACTTCAAGAATACACATGTCTTTCTATCCACTTCTCAGATACAGCTACTTTGGAAAAGTTCAAGGGTATGAATTTTTTTGCAAGTTGCCATAAAAACTTGATTGCAACAAAAGAAGCTCTTTCTTATTGATTATAATTAAAGGAGAAAGCAGAAGAATTAAGAACCACATAGGAAAGTACGGAATCTAAATTTGACATTAAATACAATGTAGTCATGACTTACACAGTGGTGAATATACACAATCAAATCTGGTCTGGTGTTTAAACTTCTTGGTAAATGTTGTGTATTGGTGAGTTCAGATACTGTTTGTTCTACGACCAAAGTGATTATGGTAATTACTAAAACATAACCAGTCAGGTCCCTTTTGCTTCATGTGACTCATAACACCACTACTGGTAGAGCTGTTTCTTGCTTTGAAAGCATTTCTTTATTTGAAATCACTGCATGACATTGGGTCTGTGGTATTTGAAAATACCAGCATCTCACAAGTGAGTCTTCTGGGAGTTTCTCTCTACTATGTGCTGTGGGTGTTTGATCATGTTCCCCACTGAATCACCATCATGCTCCCTGGAAACCTTCAGAGAGATACTCGATAAGTCAAACAGAGCCCCAACAAATGAAAAGGTAGAGCAATTTTATGTCACTGTAGCCCAACATGCACTGGGAATTGTAGTTTGGATTTTCAGTCTGGAAAAGCCAGTGTGTGAGTTGGTGTGTGTTAGACGATGCAAGCTCAGCAGATTCCAGCCTTCACAGACTGTTGGTTTGTACAACGGCATTACCCTCCTCTTTAATATCTTAAGTTAATGTGAGTCTCAGGCTAATTGAAATTGAACCAATGTGTTTCTCCCTGCAGTGCCTTTACAACACTGTTAAAGAGACACACACCCTTTTACAAACATCAACAAGCTCCAGTTGTATGCAACCAAAGCTTGCTTCTTTGATCAAAGTCTTTATCAATAGATTCTTCAGTGTATGGAAACTTCACAAGGTGAAGTCATGGGACAATTATTCCTTGCCAAAATGTAACAGCTGATAAATCAGGAATATGTGCAGATGAAACCTCACATAAAGCTAGCGCATAGCCAGTATTTCGGGTGGCAGTGATTTACAGTCGGCTGAGCTAAACTGCTTACCGTCAGTAGCTGTAATGGATGCCAGCATCTGCTCTTAATTTCTGAGACTGGGGACAGATATCGCTGCTGTTATTTTCTCCCACGGCAATTTCGCTGATGCCTCCCTAGGTACCCCACTGCGCTGCACTTGAACCTTAGTGGCGCAAAATGCTGCAATTACAATGCGAGTCCTGGAATTGATCACAAAGACAGGCAATTTGAGCAACAAAAACAATGTAATACACACAATGTTGCAGTTTCTGCTACTTTTATCATGGTTTTATGATGAATCTGCAGAGCTATAAGATGAGGGGGGAAAAATATAATTGAAAAATGTGAAACAAAACAATGACAGCAGCTGATTTCTATACTTTGCGTGTAGTTGACAAAGCCAACTATGTGGTGATAATTTGACAAAACACCATATACCACAACCACAGAGAAACTTCATCTTGACATCAGTTTATTTTTTTGAAAGTTTTTTGTTAGGGTGGATGACAATACAAACACTTCTAAATGCCAGTCAGTTTTGCCCCCAAACTTGCCAGAATGCAAAATGTTAAGCAATATTTCACTTTTCATTGTCATATTAAGTAATTTATTGTGAGAAACTTTAAAATGTCAGAATGGTCTACCAAATCAAGACCTAAATTAGACAGAAAATCTTTTGAGGGCTGCAGACAGCAATCCTTACAATTGATTAAGTAAGGGAAAGTGTGTATATATTGTGAAATCAAGATGTGAGTTTGACTGCTCAAATAAGACCAAAAGGCATGTTATTTTAGTATAAGATAACATAAAAGGCATGTTATTTTAGTATAAGATAACATGCCTTCAATAAGTGAAGTATGCACACTTAACTTATTATTCATCCTCTACCTATTTGTATATCAGTTGAAATGTGAGGCGTGTCTTGGTTTTGGACAAGAATTGTAACAAAAACATGAAAATATGAACAGTCAGTAACTGAAATAACAAGCTCACATTAATAAAAAAAAAACACTCCACCTTTTATGCCATTTTCAGTGATTCATCATTACATCATAAAAATCCTTGCATAAACCAAATGATAATTTCTGAAAACCAACTGGGACAGGTTGGCCACCAGACCATGTTTCTTCCTGCCACCTGCTGTATAAGGAGGCCATTGCAGCCTCTTCTGGTAAGAACTGCTCTGAAATTATTCAGCCCTCTTCTGCTCTGATTGATTGTAGATCTCTGACAGTCAAACAAAATGTATTTTCAGTCAAACTGCAGAAGAGAACATAGTGTGTAGCATATTTTATCCACCTTCATTTGGCTTGTTTAAAAAGGAACAGAAGACAAATAATGAAAGAGAGCGATAATGTAAATAAATTAAAATATGCACTCAGGTGAAGTTCATCGGTCAGACAAAAGTGCCTTTTTAAAACAACAACCATTAAGAAAATATACTTTTAATTAACCACACATCTCTGTAATATTATTTTTTCAATAGTTTGATATTATGTAATTTTAAATATTATGTTGTCATTGCCTGTAAGTGAGAAATAATCATGGATAAGAAAAATAAAGGCTTCCAGACAATTCCATATGTTTCACATCTTGATCAAGTTACTAAAACAAATGAACTTTTCAGTGATATTCTAATATATTGAATGGCTCAGTACATTTTACTATTTCTAATACTGCAAATCCCAGATGTGATACTAACCTGCACCAAGGGGTTTGCAAGTGAAAAAGACTTCTCTACCTTCTGATGCAATGTTGATGAAACTGTTGTTTCTCTTTCAAGTAGCTCTGTTAAATAACCAGTAGATGGCATCAGTAGTATACGATTGACACTCAGACATTTATTGATATAGAATCCCAAATGGACCAAATAAAATAGCGTTAAAATAAGTCAGAAAACTGATAATTCTGCAAAGGAGTCATTCATAGCTTTGCTGTATTTTCAAAATTACTTCACAGTTATTTTCTCCATCAGTTATTTTAAGAAGGCAACAGTTAAATAACTTATCTTATATGTCAACAAGTAGACAATAGGTCAGTTTAACCACGACGTTAGGATGTCTATGATGAGACACAGTTACTGTTTAGAATATGCCCTACAGTATATAAATCATAACATATACTCTGACAACATTATGTATATTTTTAAAATAACTTTGCATTTTAGGTAACATATGTTTAATAACATATCTTTGTAATTAAAAAAAATAATAATGTGGCAACATCATTTAATTAATAATATATTTATTGCACTTTGATATTTCTGGTACTGCAGGATTTAACATGTAAACACCTACATTAATATCTGAACCAATTTACAGAATGTTCAGAAATGTTTATTATTTTAATATGTCCTAATGAACATCTCTGAGGGAATCACAAGCATAAGCTCTTTTGTTTAATATTGCTAATGTTAACTTAGTTAACTTAGATAATGACAACATTTTGTGTTAAAGGGGAAGTATTAAATATTTGCCAGGATCATATTACCAATTTATTGCACAAACTAGTAATTATGTTACCTTCAGTTGTCATAAAAAACCCTACATGTATATAACACACAACCTGGAGGAAATTTGACTTTGAAATTTAATGCCTTCAAATTGGGCCCTTGTCTCTTTAAGAAGCTTAGACTCCTCCTTCAGCACGCCATCACAACCACGCTTCTCATTATGATGTTAACAACTGTTCTTTTGAGCGCTGGCTTATCATACAAAGAAGAACTTTGTATGATAACCTCAGCACTTCTGCCAGGTGTTTGTTAGTTGCTGCTGCTTCTAGTCTGGAGGTAGCAAGGTGGAAGCTCAGCTGGAGACTGTGATTTTGTGGGAGAAGGTGCTTAGGCACGCCTGATTGGTTTTCAGGATTTTTTTTTGTAACAATACAATATGACAGTTAAGATTATACATCCATGTGTATAATCACCTATTCATGCAGGAATGAGTGGGACTTGTGCCTATCTCCAGCAGTTAATAGGTTAAAGGTGGATCACACATTAGTCCATCACAAGAGAAACACAGAGGTGTACAGAAGAGAAAAACAACCACACACATCATTAAGCAAGCAAGCATACCCAATGGCCATTTTTGAGTAACATACCTTTTTGGACTTTGGATGGAAACTGGGGAGAACCCACATATCCCCAGGGTGAATGGCTATGGGATAGTATTCAGTAGTTGAATTATTTGGCTATTTTTATTCATTTTAACAAAACAAGCCTGATAAAATGATAACCTTAACATACAACAAGAGCACCGAAAAGCAAAAATGACTTAACAAAGGGAGAGATACAAACTACCAAACATTTATTTTGAACAGAATCCACCTCTTAAACTATTTACTGAGGTGTTGTTCCCTCTCAGACACATCCCAGATGTTATTTAAGATAGGCGACATATAGAAATATCAAACATTTCAATATTTCTGTATGTACTTTAGGTCAGCTGATTGTGACCCATTTGCATGGAGTCACAATGCAACTCCATGCAAATGGAGTTGCATTTGCAACTCCATTTGCAAATGCAAATGGAGTTGGATGGTGTAGATGTTTTTTTTTATGGTTGTCCATCAAATAATGAGAAATAATTAGGAAATGGGGGCGTGGCTCATTTTTATGTTTTCTAAATTTTTATCTTTGATACAGAGAATGAGCAGAGAGCACCAGCCAGGGCTGCAAACTCATGTTTGAGTCTCCTATAAAAAGGATTAAAGTTTCTATGTTATCATTTTGATCAACGTTGATCTATGTCTGTGTCAGTGGTCATATATTTTTATCTGGCATTTTCTCTGGTGTGATTATTACTCTTTTGTCAAACCTTTTGCATTAACATAGTGAGATTGTATTTTATGATCTCACTTTTAACCTGCACCATGTTTTTATTTAAATATATTAAGATTCCAGTTGCCTGGTCTTCTGCCATTCCTAAGGAAAACACAAAGCAGAAAATTACATGAGATTCTGAGGTGGGATTCTGCAGTGCAGACCCACTCAAAAAATGGACAAAAGCTAATTTCCTTGTCCAAAGGAGGAAGCAAAAAACAAAATATATAAAATAAAATGAAATAAACGTCCTGTCTTTTGGTTAAGTTAAAATGTTAAAAAGGTGTGTGCAAATACCTGACAGTTGAGAAATATTGTTTTATGGGAAGTGAATATATCTATCTGTTGAGTGAGATGTTGAATAAAATGACCTACTCTGGTAGGAAAAAATAAAATCAATTATTATTATTATTATTATTATTATTATTATTATTATTATTATTATTATTATTATTATTATTATTATTATTATTGCCAATAACAATAATGCAAATTAGGATATGGTCTGCTGCAGAAAGTGATCCAACCTCTTTTTTAATTTTTTTACATGGTTATCATTTCTACGGTTTTGCCTCCCCTCCCACACCCCCGCTGCTGGCTGACCGCTCTTTTGCTATTTTTATCCCAGTGGGGCTGTTTCTGTTTCCCAGCCAGCCTACAGTGAGAGGAGCAGAGGTGCGGGCGTCTCTCATCACACCCACCTCTCTCGTTCTCCCTCCCTTTCCGCTTCTCTCTCACTTTCCAAAAATAGCCGTGAGTCGTGATCGGCTCGTCCTTGAGAGCGAAGCAGCGGGAGGGAGGACTGTATTATTGCTTAGAATCAGAGGAGGGGTTATGGATTGATACAAATAGTCGCCCCCGCCAAGCCAACCCCAGCACAGGCTTGAATTAATGTGTTGCTATTTTTGGGAGCCCCGTGTTTCCAGGGGAGACCTAATGACGCAATGACGTCAATGCGGGTCAATCGCAGACTGGAGGAATTGAGTGGCTTCCATTTGGAGCTTTTGCAGTATTTCCTACAGAAAGGACGGAAACGAGTGCAAAAATCGAAGTGTATTTCCTCCCGAAAAATAATAATAATAACACGGAGTAGAAAGAAAAAAGGGGCAAAAAAGAGCCTTGAAAATAGGAAGTTAAAGTGAAAATGCTGAAGTGAAAATGATCCCGGTGCCATCACGTCGCCCCAATCCTTCGAGCATCAGCGATAGTAAAGGAGGTGTGTATTTATGGATGCTTTATTTTTTTTCCTCCAAATATATCCCTTTTCCACCACAGCGCATCTAAGGGACGATGCCTCTACCAGAGCCTAGGCTTGTGGAATACTATTTTTGTGAGCATTTTTGTTTGTTGACTTGATCTGATGTACTACCATAGCAGCATCGGCTGTTTTTTTTCCCTTTCTTCTCTCTCTTTGAGTGTGATTTCCTCGTATTCTGTTGCTTTCCCTGCATATCGCTACTCTCTCTACCACCAGCTATATTATAACGTTGTATTTTATTTTTGCATTATCATTTTCTCTTCCTCTCTCTCTCTCCTCTCTCTCTCTTTGCACAGCCCCGACCTATTCCAAGCTCTCGCATCCAGACGCACAGAGGTAACGACCACCTTCGCCCTTGTCTCCAATCTTATACAATCTGTTACACAGCTTTTAGCCTATTTGTGCTTGCTAAAAATTGATCGATAGCGTTTTGACTGCAAATTGTTGATTGATGTTTATATATAATGGTGAACGGAGTACCGGCTATTGTGGCTCGAGATTGTGCGCGTCATGGTTGTTCGCAGCTTGGCGACTTGCCGACGCGCACAACCAGACCGTCTGTGTTGAGTGGAGATGGTGTCTTTTTCAGAACTTTGAATGTGCATGCAGACAATTACCTTCATGTCGGGGACTTTGTCAGGTGTCCGTTTCAACTATTTACATTTGCCAGTGGGTAGTAAGCGAGGTTTCTGGCCAGGTGACGTGGGTGTAGGCAGGATGAATTGACAGTGCAACCCCTCTCTACAAGAAAAACCCCAGGAGAGATGCATGTTGAATGCAGGAAAAAAAAAGAAGAAAGAAATAGCCTACTCTCACAGCTTAAACACACACACAGACACACACAACCACAATGTCGTGAGAGGAGGTGGAATGGGGGGCCTGGGGGTGTGGGGTGCTCAGGGCGTTTACCGGCAGGGTCTGGTGTGCGCGTGTAGGCGTGTGTGTGCGCGTGTGTAAAAGGCTTTCAGAACCACGGACAGCTCACGTGAAGCTCATCTGGTGTGGTCCGCCTTCATTTCTGTCCGTACTGGCTGAAGCCTCATCCACAGTCCAGAAGACTCCCGTTCAAAAAAATAACATACTGTCCTTGTTCTAAATTTTTAACTTCTGTTGAATTAGAGGCCCAAACACAAGGTTATATTTTGCTCTTACCTCCAGACGTCACCTTTTGAGCTAAATTTGCTTCTCCATGGAGAATGTTAACAGTTACGCGAGATACTGATATTAGGTGGACACTAGGAAAAAGGAATTAAACTTTAAAATCATATGCATTTGAATAAAGTGCATTTGCTCATGATTTTATACCAAGTAATCTAATGAGAATTGTGTTCTGTCATCTGGGATCCAGGAAACCTTTCAGCATCACTTGAATCAACATTTTGTGTAACTTCTACCAAAAAAAAAAAAGACATCTCCCAGTTTGTGCGTTCCAGATCTATTGTCTAAAGCAATTAAGAGGATTGTTTTTAAACTACTTCCCATGTAATTCCCTTAAGTATAAACAAAACTAATATTTCTAAAAAGTAATCAGTCTAATTATTGTTGCCTAAAAGGCAAGATGTCCAATTGAAAAATGACTAACAGTCAGCAGCTGCAATTCCCTTTAGAGCTGCCCAATTCACTTCAAGCAAATCATCACAATATTACAGTGAACAAAGTTGGTTTCTTAAAGGGCTATTTTCCATGTATTTGTTGGCTTTGTATAAATGTGAATTCACCCTTAAAGTGAATGTATTACATTTGATGGATAGAAACTATTCACTCTTGATGTTCACACCTTGCACACATAATAGTTCCCTAGCTGAAAGCTTATCAACAATAGATAAGAGAATAGTTTTGAAAACATAACCGATATCATCATTGCAAAATTTAACAATAATATTGACAACACAAGATTTTATCAGCACTCATTTTCTTAATTTCTATTTGTGGTGATTTGATGAGGGTATATGCTGTAGTTTCTCAATCATCCATCGTACGTCAATTTCAAATGCGTAACCACAAGTTTAGAACTGAAGATCTTTTGAGCAGGAGGTAAAAAATCTTCAGGAAACAAAAGATATCTGCTTGTTTTCTGTTTATCTGACACACATGTCCTTTTGGATGTGTGCTGAGGGTTGAATGTTTTCCAGTATAAACCTGGATACTACAGTGTAAATCTGCATTTATTAGAAGACTTTGACCTCGTGATTTTAGACTCAATAATGTGTTTTAAACATGAATATATTTCTCGGGTGTTCTTTTAGATATTTTTTCTAAAACATGGTGTGGATCAGTTTTCCAACCTGGTCATATTCCATGTGGTCTCTGCAAATAAATGAGTAAATAATAGCACATGCACCATGAAGAAATCATGATCTCACTGAAAATTAACTCACTCACTTCAGTAGATGAAGGCCAGTATGAGGATGCATAGAGAACAATCTCCAAATATAGTGGCTTTCATGCTCTATAATCTTAAAAGAAGGTTTCAACGTGTGCTTCACTTTGCTCAAGTTCATCCTTGTTTCTAGAATTCAATAAATGAATTAATTAGCAACCCATGACTTCCTGATTTCATGATAGAGCACTGATACTTTAGGTCATTCTTAGAAATGACAAATGTCTTTTACCCAAGAAGAATTTCTGTTGATCTTCATAAAAGAAAGATTACGTAAAATAGTTGCATATACTTGCCTAAGTCTGCATGCACAGAGATTAATAAATGCTTTTAAACATATATAGAAAAAAGTGAAACAAAAATTGAGTTGATCATTATACTTTTAGTTTACACCTTTAAGCTGAATTGGTAATTTTGTTTGTTGCAGACTCTGGTCCAAAGAGCTGATGATGGTGGTGGTTATGATTTCATCAGAGGAAATTATGTTCTTTTCAGGTCTTTTTGCGGTCTGGGCTTGCTGTTGGATGTCTTTCCAGGAAGCCCTTACCCCAAAAAGCATCTGCAGGGAATCCTTACAACAGCAGCAGTTTACATGCAACTTCGCTTTTAAGCTTGATCTCACACTGTGCTTGCATGTTTTTTATGAACGTATGAGTTATTTTCTTTTCTTACTGAGCACAGCTAATGTGTAGAATGGAACGGAAACCTTACTAATGGAGTTATGAAATAGATCATTTGATCCACATTACTTGGCAAAGTAAAACAGTCATGCTTGGGACTGAGTTACAAACTTGCTAACAGTTATCCCGATTTCTGTTTTTGTATTCTCTTAAAATAATAATTCTGATTATATATTTTTTAAATCAGGAATGACTGTCTGATCTGCAGGTTAGAATGGGAATGTCTTCAAAAGTGTGTTTGACATCATATAACTTGTCCAGAAGGTGGCAGCATTGCTAAGGATTTTTGAAAGTTCATTAATTCCAGCAGTAGAAGTGTGCAGTATCAAAATTAAATTAAACATTCCGTCAGAGTTGCAATTATAGTTTTTAAAATTAAAATGAACAATTCAAGTGTAAGATATTTATATTGTTATAAAAAATATTCTGTTGTTAGTGGAATTTTCCACAGCAGTTTCCTATTAGAAAACAGGAACTGTCCTGAAAGCCACTGGCCTGCATTTCTCATCTCATCATTAAAATTATCAGCATTGAGAAAGTCAATAATATCAAACAGAAGGTTTCCTACCTCACAAACCACTTCCCTGGAAATTGATGATTCCTTGGCTGTTGTTCAGTTCCTTGGAAACAGAAAAATTCCAGCTTCTGTTGTGTAATATAAGAGAAATGAATGTGTAACAAGAAAACATGTTTTGAAGAATTCACAACTGTTAGACTGTTTGTTTCTGTTTTTGTTGTTGTTGTTTGTTTTTCAGGAACCTGGACTTGATTTAATATTTGAAAATAAACTTGATCTTAATTCTGGTGATGCTTTTTATTATTATTATTTTAATTATAGTCATGTGAGGAGAAAGTGTAAGAATGTCACCCCTGCTATATTTATGATTAGAAATTATTGAAATGTTTTATCTTTACTGGAAGGTAAGTGAAGGTAACTGTAACTTACTGCAAGGTTAGTGATAGTGCCATGGAAAATGACAGTGCCATTTTCCAGTCCCATTTTTCTGAGGGCTGTGGCCAAGTGAAATTGTAACTAAGAGTTTCAACTGTTAAGGAACAAAGGCACTGAATATTCAGCAACAAAAGAAAAACAAATATTTGAAAAGGTTAGACAAATTGTTAAAAAAAAAAGGTTGAATAAGACAAATAACTTAGTCTGTCATTGTTTGTGGAGATGAGATGGCATTGTGAAGCCGTCTTTATTTAGAAAAGTTCATATAAGAGTTCAAAACATTTCAGAAATATTCAAAACGTTTACATAGTCTTGTTTAAGCGTTTTGAGTAAATTGATATATACATGCTATTTTTATCTTAATGCAAATCTTTATGTCTAGCAACACTCCAACATAGCACAGTGATGTGTATGTAATTTAATATATTTACATGGCCTGTGACACAAAAAGCGTCATCTGGTAGACCCCTAATGTACTTTGCAAGATGACATGAGGGAAAACAGACAGCCAGACACGTCCTGATCCATCCCTAACCACCAGTAGAACAAGCTTTGATTCTTCTTTTTCTGTTGCTCTGTTGCCTTGGTCTGCAACTTAAAATAACAGGGAAAGCAAACATTTGTTTAGCTTCAGTGGATATTCAAAATGTTTCAATCTCAGTGTTCTAACTGCAAAAATGAGGTGCAAACAAAGCATGCACTATTTATTTGGCAACATTATGTATTTTCTTACAAAAATCAAAAGATAAGATTCATTTTCACCACCTGAAATAACTTAAGCCTAAAGACTCTCATTGTGGCTGAAGTTGAGTAATCATTAAATGCACTATAGCAGTGTAATAAAAAAAGAACAGATAATAAGCCTGTCAGCAAATAAAAGTTCTCAACTATTCCCAGGAAAGTCACTGCAGGAAGAAGCGAATGGAGAGGAGTGGAATGAGACGCCCTTCTGGAACAAGCTGAAATCAATAATTTTAACACATTTTATCTAAGCCACATCAAAGCACTTAGAATAATACATCAGAATCTTGTTGTCAATAAGTGAAAATGTCCTACAATCCTTTTGTTTTTGTTTTTTTGCTGAATAGGACTCATTTCTTGTTATATGGGAGTCCAACTTAAGTTGCTATTGTTGAAAATCTTTATTTATCCTCTACAGAAATAGGACATTTACCAGTGTTTGTGTTTTATTTGGGATGTAAATGGTTTAGGAAAGCGATATAATCAAACAGGGGCAGAAGATAATATGTCTTTATTTTAGCCTATCCCTTTTTTGACCAGTCTGCTTTGCATATAAGATAAGTGACTCTTTGGAGGTAGGTGCCCCATGGTATTTATACCTTTTGTACAAACTTTGGAAATAATATTCTTAAACCTTTTACACTGCATTAGCAATGCTTTTAAAAAGGAAGATTCTAACAAAAATGATTGTTTTTAAACTGTATATACTATCAACTCTTCTAGCCTGCATACATCAACCTATCGCATACTCCCCCACAACACAGACTTTGTCCTCAACATCAGAACCTTAGCAGCCAAACCACTGGTAAATACTATGGATGCAGATATAAGATTATTTTTTTTTAAATAGACCCCACTGACTGCAGAGTATCTACAATGGCTCTTGCTGATCGTAGTCATGGGTGGTAGAGTTTTGTAACACTAACAGTCTTCTTGGGAATAGACCCTGCTTTTCACTGAAATCAATGTCACAAAAGTCTGGGTCATCCAGCCTCTGTGGATTTTCACATGGTTTAAATATCAGTGTAATGTCCTCTGTCTCAGTCTCTACCCTACATTCAATAAACACTGGGCACATTCCCTCCCATTTGGTGTTTTCACATTGCACTCGTACTTGTTATTCACTAGCTGCTTTTATAAAGGTCAGGGTTTTGTCGTTTCAATTAAGGTCTGGGAAGGGTAATTGCACTGTTCTCAGAAATTTTCTTTTCCCCCTTAGTTAGTCCCGTCTTTCATACTTTCCAAAACCAAGTGCTTGATAGCATTAAACCCAATAATTGGACACTGTTGCTATTTACCTTTGAGCACTAAAACAGGTATGAGTAACTCTTAGTCACTGGCTGTCAGTTTAAATGGTACCTAAACCCACCGCACATCTGTACCATTGGCTGCTTCTAGATGGAGGGGTTCATTCTAGCAACTAACCTCACAAGCATTGTTCAGTGAAACCTCAGGGAAGTTTGTGTCTTTCCACGACTCATCTGTGGCACAAATCGTGTACCAGAGTCCCAAAGTGCTTCAAACGTTTTGCTGCTCAAAAGCACCTGATGAGACATTTTCTCACCACTAAATGCCTGATGGTCAAGTTAAAACAGCAAATGATACGTTTTTTAATGTATTCACCATCTCCACCCAACTGGCACGTGCCTCGCAAAGAATCAAGCGCACCCATTACTTACTCTTCTCAAGCTCAGCAGCCACATCTATAAGATAACTTGGCACACCTAACCCTAAGTGTAAAATAATTCTGATGACTAAACTAAATCATATTTCAGTCAAAAGAGTAAGACTAAACTACATCAACTTATATAGATATATACATATACTCACACTGTATTAATACATACTTAATACTCCTTATTTTTATTTTTTTTACAGCTGGCCAGAGTGAGAAGACAAGTTGCCCCACTAATTACATTCAGTGTGAGGAAGCCTTTACTCCAGAAATTGTTGTAAATTGTCTTTAGTAGATCATGTTTTCAGCTATTGTAGGCAAATATGTGACAATTGCTTCTACCTTTGCAGATTCTACATCCCCTACCTTAATAACCTTATAAGAATTGTTTTTATTTTTTAAAGAGTGTTTTCTACAAGATTTTTTTTCTCTCCATAGCTCACTGAACGATGCTCCAGGTCGACTTTTGCGAACCACCACTACCAAAAGCTCCATCTTTCTCAAACTGGAGCACAAGAAAAAGCCTCTTTTCAGAGAGTTGGAGGGCAGAAAGACCTTGTCTGGTGAACATGGCATCTTAACAGTGTTTCAACACTCATATGCCAACAGAATGGAAGAACTCTAACTGCGCTCTGCTGTGCTGATTGCCTACCACGTGATGAGGCACATGTTCTTCATAAAAGAGACACCATGACAGCCAGATTCTTCCAACCATTGCTTCCAACAACCTTTGTCTTAAATAAAACTTTTTGCCACGATGGTAAGTTCAAGGTTTTAACTAAGCTCATAAAAACTCTTGCTTTTTTCCGACCTTTAAGTTTTTACTTTGTTTTTAATGTTCTGGTTTATGGCTCACCTGGTGCTACATAGCTTAGTCACACTGTTTTGGTAAAAAAAATTATATGTTAAAATCTTTTACATCACTTCTACCTATGGAAATCCTCAGAATCTGTCCTGGTCCATCAGAGTGTTTGAACCAGGACAGTCTCTTGCCACAAAAATTTTTTACTTTTTTTTCCTGGCTCTAAACCAAAATTAAAAAAATAATACAGGAACGGCATCTGAAAATAAAAAAAAGATGTGTTGCCGATAAGAATAGTTTGTGACACAGAATAGACCTAACTCTAACACACTAAACTTTCACACTAGACTTTTTTTGTGAACTTAGGTTGATCTTTCACGCCAGCGTTGTGGTCTGAGGAAGAGGCCCTTTCACATGACATCGCACATCTTCAGTTTGAAAACCAATGCAATGTATCCTCATTTCTGGAGGAGGGAGTTTACGCAGTCTCTGGTCTCTGTCTGCTCCTAATACATCTTTATTCTTAGCCATTTTCACAAAATAGTAAAAGATTGTTAAGGCTCCTAAGATGGCATACTTCATTAGCCTAAAGTATACACTGAGATGTAATTGAAATCATACTGAAATTTCTGTGTGTTTAATAGTTTACTTTTAAGGTAAGCTTGAAGTGAATTCTATTTTGAGCACATATTTTAAAATATACAAAAAATATCTTTAAATGCATATTGTTTCAGTGGTACACTTGAGCAGAGAAACATTTAGTTCACTTAAAGTATGTTTTTATTTAATATATTTCTTAAAAGTGTATTGTGGTACAAATGTGTGTTTAAACTCACAATGCCAAAATTGGTAGAAGCATGCTGTTAGTATACTTCACATATATTTATATGTAGTACACTTAATACTTAGTATTGTTAAGATATACTTATGCAAATGTAAGTATATTTGAGATACACTGAAGTATTTTTTTTTCCACTAGTGCAGAGCAATTCCAATGCAACTTCAAGTTGTGATGGCAATAATACAGCATTCATCAGATGATACAATTTAATAGACACGTTGCATCTTATTTACATCTGGAAATTTTGCAAATGCGCTGGCATGCAAAGAGACTATTCTGTTACACACTATATCTGGGCAGCAGCGGTAGAACGATTCTATTCACAACATGAAGGATTCAAGGATTTTTATTATCATATAATTTTGCAGTTTTTTTGCTTAAGGTGCAAAATTAGAACTCTGGTCCCAAATCAAGAAGTCTAATAAATAAATAATTGAGTACAGTTTACATGCATACTCTATATGTGTGTAAATAAATAAAAAGTATGATGTAGCTGATGGAACCTAGAGATGTGGATGTCATCAATTTAATGCTGAAGAACAGCTCAGAACCACTCATATTCTTTTTTATTTTCTCATTCTCTATATCGGCGCATGCTGCACACCGAGTTGTTGCACAGACACAGACTGACAACAATGCCACTAGCATATCAGGATTCAACATTAAAAAACATGTAAACATTTCCCACACAAAGAACAGAACATTCTGTCCATTACAGCAACATATTTTCAGGCATGATGTTTTTTGGGGGGGATTATCAATGTGATTGAACACAGTGGTAGTAAATTATCTCATTTAAAAACCTGCAGGTCAGAGAGCTTGTGTGTGGGTTGCCTTTTTTTAACTGAACCTAAATACCCAAATTCACAGCACATCTACATGTAAAGGTTGTCATGGCCAAGCTACCTAATTGACCTATTTCCCTCACCCTCTCTATTTTTTTAATTAAAACTTTTTCCTGATCTGTGTATCTAGTTGTTGTTTTGTTGGCAATTAGTTGCAGTGCAGTATTCTATTAAAATATATATATTACATGTTGTAATATTCTGCTGGGAATTGCTTTATCCAGGCTATTTTCTTTGGAGAGATCGTCTCAAATAACCAAGAAAACTGAGTTGAAATCAGCAATCCAATTTATGAAAGCATAAGTAAGTGATAATGTATTGAAACATCAGAGAAATAGTTCACTATTTCAGCGGTGGACCATTGCTATGAGTGCATAAGAAAGCAATCACAAAGTGGCCCCAGATATTAGCTTCAAATTTCCTTTTGTTCCCAGATAAGCTACGCCCTAATATGGGCGTAGCTTATATTAGGGCGTAGATCATTTTCTTAATGTTAAGTGTGTATCTGCATGCATCGATAACAAGATGCATGCAGTTCTGATTAAAATAAAAACTTAAGAAAGTAAAAATATAAACATGCAAACACAATAAAGTTTTGTCTGACATGGACCATAATTTTACATGGGTCTGTGCTGTAAATCACCGCTACCCCCAAAACAGGCTGCTGCTCAATCTTGTGTAGATAGTGAAAATATTGTAGAGATAATAAAATAGGTAATACATGGTAGTAAATTCAAATCTAGGATTCCTTCATTAACCCAGGTGTCCTTCAATATTTAGGTGTGTCTCTGGCACAGACCTGTTTCTAATAATTTGGCCACTAACAAGACTGTAAAATCTGACTGCATGCTGAAATGGTACCTCAGCCTTTTGATTCAGGTGTGTTAAACCAGGGGCATCTCCAGTAAAAGTTGCCAAACAGCGGCCCTCAACAATAGAGTGAGACAGCTCTTTTAGGATATGTACACCAAAGTCCATCAAAATGGACAGTTTGTTGAACTAGTATTTTTAGAAATGCCTTGCAGAAGAGACGTGGCACTGCCATCTTTAATCCTTCAAATGTAAAGAAAACATCTGTTGCATAAAAGGTGGAAAAAGCATGCTCAGATCAAAACAATGTAAATCCACAAAAAAAGCCCAATGTGAAAGTTTATTATTAAAGAGTTTATGTCACAAACAACTCCTTGTAGTCTGCAGTAAAACTTATAAATATTTATTTTTAGGTAAGTTTTTGTTGTTGTCTTTTTTTTTATTTTGGATTTGAGTCAGAAAGAAACACCACAACAATTGCCTTTCCTAGTTAACCTAAATTTCCCTAAACTGTACCAAAACAGTGTGACTAAGCTATGTAGACCCAGCTGGGCCATAAACCTTAACATTAAAAACAGAGTAGAAAGGTAATGGGCGGAAAAAGAAAAAGAAGAGACAAGTTTAAACAGTAAAACTAATGAGCTTAGTTAAAGCGTGAACTTACCATCATGGCAAAATGCTTTATTTAAGACGTAAGTTGTTGGAAGCAATGGTTGGTAGAAACCGGCTGTTATGGTATCTGTGTTATGAAGGTTATATCTGGTGCGCATCATCACATCTCAATTGTTTGTTTCCATTCATGTGGGTTTAGGTATTGAAGTTTGTCATTTTGCTTACCATATCACACTATGAATTGCACATTTGACAGTTTTGGTTTAATCCTTCTACTCACAAATTATTTAATAGATCATTATTGCTGATTTCGCTCAAATAATAACCTTTACAGCTGCTTAAAATCTGAGCTTTTGTCAATCTCAAAGTCTGCCTGCTTTTCAGCACGCCGCCTGCTGACTCTGTTTTGCTCAGTCCAGATTTTCACAATTAAACGTCATTCAGTTGTCTGGAAGTCCAGAAATTCACCAGTGCTGTTTTGAATGGCAGCAGATGGGAGAAAAGTGAATTTGAATTCCCATCATTCCTGTGACTCACTGAAGCAAATCCCATTAAATTATATTCCAGGATTCAGTGCTGCATGTGGACAAGCGAGCTGATGTTGTGTCGGGCCTGTAGTGGCCCAGTCTGCCGCTTTAATGGATCAGAAGAGCTTGATCCAACTTGAAGTCTGCAGGTTTTTTTTTTGTTTTTTATGCCGTTTACCGGTAACAAAATTTCACAATTTCCCCCAACGTTGATTATTTTAAGTGCTGTGCAGAGTTTGTGAAAAGAAACACGCTATACTTGGTGTGACTCATGTGGTCCAATAAGTCATGTGACACACTTCAGCCATAAAATAATAATGAAGCCTTGGAGTGCATTCCTGTTCTACTTGACAGACTTCTTGACTGGCAGGAATAGGAGTTGACTTTAGAGTTTTCTTCTCAAACGCAGGAGAAGCTGATGAGAAGAACCTTTTGGACAAAAAAGAAATATCTTTTTATCTTTAGTATTCTTTTTGAAAGCAATGGTCACAAAGGCAGTCATTAATATAAAATAAATGTACAAACAGAGTAAAAAAAAGTTTTAGCAAAAGCAATTTTAGTTTTTCACAAAATTTGGTTCCTCAGTGTTGCTAAGACTTTGAGTCAGTTACGTCTACACTGAAACTCAACTAGTACAGGCATTTAATCCACATAAACGTTTCTACATTTGGTGAAGTTCAGTCTGAGTTAAAGAAACTGAACATAAATGGATACTGCATTTTAGAAAAAAAGAAATCCCTCCCATAAAACGTGGCTGTAGAATCTTCAGTCTGTTCCGACAGCTTTCTTTGGCAGGTAAAGGGAAGATTAAATATGATGAACTCGGGCAATCCCTGAAAAAATCTTATTAAAGGGTGGAAAATACTTGAGACAGGCATAGACAATAATTCTAACTGTGTAGCCAGGAGTGTAATGGAAAGTTTTAAATCAAAAGCACATGCCAACTGCATAATTTGGAAGTTTTTGTTCACGAAGGTTCCCACCCGAGTTGACACAGTTCTACAAAGTGAGCAAAAATCTTGTTCTGTGTAAATCTGGTATAAAATTACCCAAAAATATTGCATCAGAGGTGGGACTGACTAGAGGAGGGAAAATAAAAATAAACTCAAAAGCTGACAGCAACTTTTCCAAATGACTATTTAATCACAAAACTAAATGTGATGCATTTACATCGGCAAGAACCTTGTTTTCTTAAATTGTACAATTGAATCCAATGGAGATTTGCCTATTGATAATTGGTTTGGGTTAAATAAGACAGTAAACATATACAAATTCTGTCAGACTTATTTAGATTATTCTGACTTTTAGTAGAAAAAGCCCTGTGTTGAAAATGCTTTTCTGTATTTTTCTTAGTATTGTTATGAGGTTTGAAATTTTGCAACCATGCCTGCTATTAAGTCAGTTCTCAATACCAAAAAGTTTTCTTGATCAACTATGGTTGAAAATTATTTGTTTTCTATTTCAGTGAGAATGACAGTGTGACATCAACTGTCATGGCCTTTACATTTTCCCCTCAGTTAGTGATACATTGCATTTTGTCTAATTCCTTAACGTTGATTGCACGCTTTATAAAAGTTGCCTTTACACTTATGTTTGAGGTACTAATGAGGCGCATCTGATTTTGACGCCATTTTGACGTCAAATGGTGGAAAAAGCCAGAGCAGACTGCTTTTACTCATTCCAGATGTCGGGAAAATACATTTCACATGTGATGAAACATGCTCTCCAAACCCTCGAAAGCTCAGGAGACAGGTTAGTTTTACCCTACTGATGATGTGTCGTTGCAATAGTAATCCTGGTATGAGAAATGTTTCTCTTTGATGAAAAATTCCAAAGCGTCATTCCATTGTTCAACATGATTCGAACTATTTCACTTGTAAATAGGCATGAGTATTTCTTTTGCCCCAAACAGCAGGTCCATTTGTGGATCTCCCCTCCCCCATCCGCCCCCCAACTGCTTTGTGGACTTTACACCCTATAAACTTTCTCAAACTTGAATTAGAGTTCCTTTAAAAGAAAACTCAGAATGTGTCTAAATTCAACTCTACTGTAGTTAATCATACAACTATATTAAGCAATCTACTGAACCTTTAGAAATTCAGTGCATTTCTTTTGGAAAATCATTCCCAATTCATCATGCACACTAATGCATTACATATTGAATATTACAACTCGATCGAACCATCAATAGTCATACATCAGTCATGTTAAGTATTTTAAATTTCACAAGTATCAAACCAAAAAGGTTTGGTATCTTTTTTTTTTTTTTTAAATAATGTATTTATACAACACTGTTGTATATTTATACAACAGTGGCAGTTCTTACATAGGTGATGCCATAGGCAAGTTGCTTTTTCTGATCCTCCACCACCCACCACATACGCAAAAATACACACAAAATCTTCTGTTTTGTTCTTGCAAATGGACTAAAACATTCCAATAATCACCATTCAATCTGTTAGAATGAATAATTAGTTCTGATGTTCACCGGTGTGAAAAGATATCTTGACTAAATTACAGTATAAAACAAAACCTATCACAAAAACAAGTTTCAGAGTAAATAGACAAGTTGAAGTGAATGTCTGTGGATTGGTCAGTTTTCTGAGTTAAGAATGCTGATGCCATTTGCAACACAACTTTTACTTTTTAAATGAACTCTCTGCAGCGGCACCATAGAGCATGCAGGATAAGGTGATGGGCAGAAGTGAGTAAGTGGGATGGGGGTGGGGGTCGAAAAGAGGTGAGTAAGAGATGACTCAACAGCCCTCTAATATAAGATACCCTGATGGAAGGCAAACAGTGTCACCCCATTCAAACGCCAAGCGAGGTAAGGTCCACTCTTTCTGCTTCTGTTTGAATCTCTTATTTACTATGTTGAGGTGTTTCCCACTCTGTGTTCACTATCAAACTTGTTCATTATTTAGTTGTATTTATCATTTATCAGTTAACTTTATGTGATTTTGAGAAGCTTATTTAATTGACAGATTATAAGATGTTGTCACAATATTGTTTTTTCAACCTTTTTCCTGGCTGATCTAATCACACTTTCCACTACTTTCAGACTACAAAATTAAAAGTACAGAGGGGGAAAAAAAAAAAAAAACTTTGTTAGCTAAAGTCAGTGAACTTTGATCATGGCACACAGTCAGAGAATCACAGTTCTTTATATTACAAATGTTTGCTAGTGCAAAATGTATTAAAACTGAAATTACAAGGTGACTTATCTGAACTGCTTCAATCTGATTGTTCTAAAAGCATTAACAAATATAAAAAAGCTATATTCTGAGTTATGTTTTTCACTGGTTTTGACTTTTTTTTTCTAATTGATATTCTAGGAACATGTTCTTCAGTATCCAGAAAAGTACAATCATGGACTCGACACTAGTGGCGCTGGTTTTCTTGTTCCATGTTCTAAGTGTGGGTACAGGAAAACCTCTTCCAGATGCCAAGATCAATATTCAGCCAATAATAAAAACGCTTATGGTTAGGCTGAATGCTTTCCAGGTATGTTTCACAGTTTATGAAATTAAAATAAGTGCAGCTTGAAGTTTGAATAAATTAGATGGTTTTGTGGCTACAAATATGTTGTCATTTTGCAGGCTCTTCCCAGCTTGGGAGTCAATCCACCTGAAGAACTGGAAGGATTTTCCTCCATAGTGGCAACTATGAATGGTTACAACGATCTGATCTCTGAAAATCTACTGAATGTTGCCCAGGTCAAAACTGACATCTCCAGACTGACCGACACCATCAACCGCAAACTGATGAACTGCACAGAAAAGAACCCAAAGCTCACACTTCCAGTGCACCTGCAGCAACTGCAGAACGAATGGGAACAGGACCCAGAACGCCACGTTGAAGCCGTCAGCTTGGCAGCTCTCAATGGAGTGAGGGAGATCCTCAAACTGCTACAGAACCAGATTGATGGAATTGCATCTTGCTGAAAAACTGATTGAAACCAAAGATTGAAATCTGCGCTAGCACTGTTATTGAGGTCAAAACTGTGCAATACATTTTTTGATAATTTCATTTAAAAATGCACTTATTTTATAACAAATGCATATGTATTTCTTGTATTTTTAACCTATTTAATCTCATATCTCAATATATGTTATATGTAAAGAGTGCTGCCCCAACAACGAGCTCTCAGTGAGAGTAATTGGTGAAGCGCCTAATGCTGAATCCGCAGTTTTAATAACTGCAACCAGACGAGATGTACTGTCACTCCGGGAAACCCCGGAAGCCAATAATAAAAACTTTGGTTTGTTTAAGAACCAAAGGCACATGGTAAATGGGAACTTTTATTTTTGTGCAATATCAACAGCTGTTGCAAAATGGGTAAATAGCAACAGGAAATCTCTTGAATATTTTTGTACAATGAGTGAAGTTTTAATGTTTTCAATAAAACTAAATAAATATTCAACTTTTTCCTAACTGTCAGTGTTGTGTTATATATACAAATGAGCTCGAAAGTCATGAAGTGAAAAAAAACATTTTACGTGTACCTAAGTTATGTGTATTTAAATGAGTAAAAGCATTCAAATATAGCCAGACATTGTCAAAATAATAACAATAAAAACCACAAACAGCAAAAATGTACAGAATAAGACTACATTTTCAAAAGAGATATGCAGAAAATCAGAACAAATATGACAAAACTTCAGATTCGCTTTGACAACAACCGTGTCATGAACAGAGCAAATACACTGTACAGTTTAGCACAGTTCATAAAAAAGTATCTACTCAGAAATCCCACTAGATAGTACTTTAAGCCCTGGATTTCTCAATCATCTCTTACATGGTCATGGATTTAACTGTCAAACCACTTGCTTCTTTTGATGGAGACATTCTTGTCGCCGCCGCCCATGAGTTTCCTCTTGTACTGCTCCACCAAGGAATCAAAATGGTCCCCGTCCTTCCTCTTAAACTGTTTCTTAAGCTTTTGAAAACAAAAACAACCAAAAAAAGTAACATTAGACTCAACAGGACGCAAGACAAACCACTTTTAACTGCTGTTCTATTGTCAAGCATAAACACAAGCTGAACATACGTCTTTGCACTTAAACCCTTGAATTGTATTGGTGGTTGAGTAATCCTCTGATAATAATTCAAAAAGTATCCATCTACATCTCAGAATACCGAGGTATTAAAAGGTGTTTGCCTCATTTTCCTTGTTTTTGTTTTTCAGTCATACTTAAATGTTTCAGATCAAACAAATTGTAATACTAGATAACAATAAAGTGAGTAAAAAAAGAGAAATATTTGTTCCCTACATGCTTGTTAAATTGAGTTTTCCATTCTAAAAAAGGAAGAAAAAAAAGATTTAACAACTGCAGCTATTTTTTTTTTCAAATATGTACAAATTGGTTTGAAATGTTTTTTTTCCATGATGTTTAAAATAATTATTTGAAAATTACTTTTTGTTTTTGCTCTGGTTATTTTTTTAAATTTAATGTTATAACTTCTTTTTTGTCATATTTAAATATGACAAAAAAGCAAAAACAGCATAATTCTTTAAGGGGAAATACACTTTAGAGAAGTACAACATAAGAGACAGCCAGATAACATATTTTACATCTGCTTATTAATTATTAAAGTTACCTCCCACCCCAAAAAACACAACCTGTACTTTCTCAGAGAACAAATAAGAACAACTGAGACAATATTTCCAAACCTGGTTTTTGGCCTGATTGGGCTTTTCAAATTGTTGTGTTGGGCGCTTGTTCCTTTTAGATCCAGGCTTTGGTTTCTTGGGAGGTGGAACCTGTTGCTTGTCTTTGTCACGCATTCTGTGAAAGGACAAGAGTTAGACGAACTGTCAAAAACATGTTCCCTGAGATATCAAACATAAGTTTTCTACATCCACAGCTTCAAACCGCCTGCTCAAATCGACAAAATAAACAGAAAACCATGAAGCAGACAGAGGAGTGCTGATGGAACCGTACCTGATCTTAGGTCCGCGATGGGAAGGAAAAGGCAAAACCTTCTTTCGTTTTTTTCCATTTTGTAAATCAACATGTTCAATCTCAGGTTTGGTCTGAAAACCTGAAAAGTTTTGCTTCTGTCCTCCACCAGTGTCTGTTGAAGATAAAAGAGAAAACAATAATAGCAGCTAAGACCAAATTCTAACACTATCTAATCAATTCCCTCAAGCGTAGTTTAAACTTATTTCCTATTACAAGTTTCATAAAACAAAACAAAGAAAACCAACAACACAGTCCAACAAAAGCTAAATTTAAAAGTCCCAACTTTTAAAAATTGTTACAGAAAAAAATAATAAAATGGCTGTTGTAGATTTTTATTAAGTAGAGGTCTGGAGTTCTGCAATGACTCTTTTAAGTTTCACATCAACTCGCTGTCGAAATGTAACAACAAATTTTTTTTTGCTGAGATGGAAGATGAGGAAATGGGTGGAGAATGTCAAATCATTTGATGTAAAGCACTTTGAAATGCCTTGCTGAAATGTGCTATACAAATAAATATTTGATTTGAAATTTGAAAACAAAGTGTTGAACTTAACTTTCATCATGTTGACCTTGACTTAAAAAAAGCAACATGCAACTCCTTGTTTTAAATGAATCTGAATCCTATTTCATGATTACAGTGTTGACCAACAAAATTTTGATAATGCCTTTTCTGTTATTAAGCAGCTCTATTAGAAGTACAATTTCAGAAACTCTTGCAATAATAGTAATATTGGTAACAATGTCAAGTGCAATATATTTCAAATCTATTTCCTCTTCCTCATCTGTGCCTTCATCACTATGTAAGTTCATAACACCTGGAATATGCTAGCAACAATTATTGCACTCCAAGCAGTCCTTTATAATGTACATTTTCCACACTCCAACAAAGCAATGACAATATATCCTCTATATGTTGTGCAGCCTTGTAGCTCATGTATGTGAGGTTCAAGGCTTGGAACAATGTCCTTTTGGCAAAAGGAATCAAAGTAAAGGGCAGAAAACAGACCCCCATGTTGTACAAAAATCAAACATACACCCACAAACACAAACATGGTGATTGACTTTGTTTTGAAATCACAGGACCTGAGCAGCTTGCAGTTGATGTAAAACTCTAAAATTGAGAGAATGTGTATTTAACTCTTTGTACTAACTTGTCAGTGCAAATCTTTTAATTGTACCATACAAGAGATATTACGGGAGAGTACAACATTGGAGCATATATATCTTACTCTTAAGTCCAAAAACTTGACATATATCATACAAAACCTCAAACATTTTAGTTTAAGAAAAATTCTTTCTACCTTTCTCCTTTCCTGTCAGATGTGATGAAGACTGTCCTTTATTCCCATCCTTCTTTGTTGTTCTGGTGTCTGAACCTGTTTGTGTTTTTTTTGCTTCCCTTTTTACAGGTTGACTTTGGAGGAAGTCCTGTCAATAAAAGCAAAGAATATTAATAAAATGATGCTAATGACAAAAATAAAAATAAAAAATACATTATTGTTCCAGGGACTAAAACTTGCAACAGTCTCACAAAATATCACAAGAAACAAATAACTACACAAACTTTATTTCTCTGTTTCTGCATTTCCTTGAGTTTGAGCTTCCGGGAATCCTCCAGGGAGAACTCAACAATGGGTCTCTGCAAAAGAAAACAATACGTTGGACCAGACCATTAATGCAAAGACATCTACATATTCTCTCATCTTTGACTCAAAATTATTTTCTTTTGAGTTTGATCAGAAACGACATTAATAGATGCAGTTTTACTGAGTTAATGATTTTACAATAGCAAACTAAGTATGCAACATTTTTACTGAAATAAAAGCGTAACAAAAATTGTTTGGTGACATCCTTGCGAAATGTAATTGTATAGTGCATTGAGATGCTCCCGGTAAAGGTAACATGAAAAAGAAAAGGTTAATTAAAAGTTACCTAATAAAGAATCAAGATGAATCAGACAGATACTGGATAAAACATAGAAAAAGTGTACCTTGTGAGGGCCAAAGATGTCAGGGTTGTTGTTAAGGTAGCGCAGAGTGGTGAGAGCTTGCTCATGGTCTCGAAACTGAACAAAACCATAACCCAACGACTGACCCGTCACTCGACCTTTCTCTGGCTTCCTGTCATACATGACCCGACACTAAAGGCAGAGGCAGGAAACAAACACATAGACATTCATATAAACATGATGAACAATAACAAATATAACGTACTCTCTTGTTTCAGCACAGATAAATTCAAGACTTCCCTTAAGCCATCTATAAATTTTAGAAATCTCACAGGAGAAAATTTCAGAAAAACTAACAAGCTAATTAGTTTTTTTTTTTCTTGCAAGTAACAAAATCTTACCTCTGTGATCTGAACTCTTTTGGTTCCTTGTAGACCTTTAAGGCACAGAGCTTTGAGTTTTTTATTGTCTACAGATTTTGGCAGGTTATGGATGCACAAGCGATTTTTCGATACAAATACACTTATATCCCGAAGCTTGGCTCTCTTCATTTCTTCAAACTAAAAAGAAAAACAACACAACTCATGAGTCAAAATAGAAGTTACTTGAGAGATTTTGACATCTCAAGAGATCATCCACTAAAATTCATTCACCAAAACAAAAGGTACTCACTCTGACTCTTTTGGCCATATCTGCCTCAGATACTCCCTCTGCTGCCTTCATTCCGGCGCGGATCACTGAGGGTTCAAAGTTAACGTGAGTAGAAAGCATACATTTAGGAGCATCTCAAATTAAAAGTTGGCAGAGACAAAGTTAATGTATTTAAAAAATACATTTCTCAAAGTGAGCAACAATGTGACAGAATTAGTGCATTGCATCCTAAAAATTGTATTCAAGAGAAACCACCTTGTGAGCTAAATGTGCAGATCTCAGTTTGATCAGCCCTGAGCAGTGACAAGCTGTTCAGAAACCAAAACATCCCATCTTTCTTTTAACAGTAAATGCACCACACTTAAACTGTACTAAGTTACAATAACAATATTACGCTGTGTGGAGGCTGTTCCTGAGGAAAGAACCCTTAAAGTTAGCTATTATAATAAAGAATATTGACAAAATAAGTCAAAGGAAACATTGACATGTCAAAAGCACATTTGTAGTAACAAGGGAACAAGTACATAAAGTAATACTACTTTATTATTTTCCACTTTAAAACTCTTGCAATAAAACAAAACTCTAGAATCAAGGTGAAAATCTATCTTCTGTGGAAAAACCACGTGG